TAACTATTAACTGGCGGCTGTTTGAATGGCCGTCCCCTGCCGCCTCGATTTTGGGCGACCACTTTAGTTTTCCGCCCCCTTCCACGTGCAAGGTTTCTCGCAGCGGAATGCTTTTTCGCTGAATCTTCTGTGAAAATACAGAGACCTCCCTCGTTATTTGGACTCTGTAACCGGGATCGGCTTCTTCCTCGCCATGAAGAATTTCTTCTGTATGGCCTTCTACGGAGAGACACCATCTGCGCCATTTGATTTGAAAGCGCGTCTATCTGGCGTTATGTATCCAACGCACTTCCCAATTTCTCTGTAAGCGCACTTATTGACTTATTTGTCTGCACTGCAATCTCATTCACCTTAGTCAAGATATCAAAAATTGCCCGATATTCATTTCTGGGCTCTGTGGCGATCCGGGTGATCTGAGACTCGTTTTGCTCCGTCAGCCTATCAGCAAAATACGCCTGCTTCTCTATCTCCATCTACACCTTCCGTCACAATTAGAAGCTCTTGAACTCTTCGAGGCAGACGTTGTTTCCAGAGTGTCTGCAATATCCTTTCTAACACGTCTGAGCCAACAAAACGCTTCATCTCCCTCAAGAGCTCGGAAGACTTCCTTCCGTTCAATTCAAGATCCGTAAGCAGCTTCTGCGTCTCCTTTGTCACCGACTCAGAGAAACGGTTAATTAATAAACTCTTTAGCGCTTCATACCTGTTCTCGACTGGAGAGTAATCTAAGAAATCTGCTATTGCTGCTACAGTTTGGTGATCTAAATGCCGCAATACGATGTATGCGTAAAGGTATAGTCGCTTGCTGCTGAGTTGGCGCACGGAATGTCGACACTTCTACCCGCACGCATCTTCGGTATTGGCCTAGGCAAACGCTACCGCGAGACGAAGACCGTGAACAAGATAGAGTGAGAGGGCAATAGTAATCATTTGCGTAAGGTTAACCCTCGAACACCGGACGCCCGCACGAACAACGGAGCCAGGTCACTATTCAGGTATCAGAATACGCCTATGCAGTGTGACAGCTCGAAAAAAAGGGGGAAGTTTAGGCGGACCGAACGTCCCTTTCTCTAGAGGACTGAGCGATCCCCTGTCCCCTCAGTACTCCTCTAGCTTGATGACCGCGCGCCAACCGACGAGCAAGCGACTATACGTACTCACAAGAGCACTTTTCGACGCACGAACGGTTCACAGTGTTAAATTACAGTGAAATTAAAAGTTTCATTTAAGTACATTTTAAAAAGCTTTGTGAACCTGGTGACTTTAAAAAAATTAACTTTTTTTTATATAAAATGGTAGTATTTCGTTTGTAGTTAATTGTATTAACGACAGTTTCTTTTTTAGTTTTTTTCAATTATTAAATAAAAAGAATTGAGAAAATGATCCGCACCCGACTTCGAGATATCTCAAATCTGTTTCTTCCACGTGATTCAGAATCGTTTGTAGTTGTTTGTAGTGATTTTCGTTTCGTTTGAAGTTGAGTAGATTAAGAGTTATAAACAATTTTTTAACCTCCCAAGAGCTAACTTCGTTAATTTTTAATATTTTTTAAATCCGCTTTTTCGATGAAATTCAGAATGGTTTGTAGTTGATTTTCCTTTCGTTTGTACTAGAATGCTTTAGAAGTTATAACGTTTGCTTAACCGTCCAAGAATTAACTTTGTGAATTTTCAATGCTTCTAAATTCCTCTTTAGGGAAATCACTACAAACAACTACAAATGATTCTGAATCACGTAGAATAAACAGATTTGACATATCTCGAAGTCGGGTGCGGGTCATTTTCCCAATTCTTTTTATTTATTAATTGAAAAAACTATAAACGAAACAGCTGTTACTACAATCAACTACAAAAGAAATATTATGTAATACTATTTTGTATAAAAAAAAGGTAATTTTTTTAAAAGAAGCGTTTAAAAAATATTCGGATAATGTGAAATTTATGTTTAGAAGATGCGTATTGAATATTCGGGCAATGTTGAATAAATCTTGAAAATTATGAGATTCAAAAAGAAATTAAATCAATTTTATATTGTGTTTCATTTATTCATAGATGTTACTTTTATTACTTTATTTCTTGTGATTGGATTCAATTAAAACAAGATATTTTAATTTTTTTTACCTCGGTAGGAATTTGAATATCAGATGAATATATATTTTATATTCGGGAAAAAATATATTGTTGCAAATATTAAATAAATATCTATTTTATAATCGTGAAAAAATATTTTGTTATGAATATCAAATAAATATGTATTTTATATTTGGAAAAAAATATTGCATTCTAAATATTGAATAGATATTTATTTTATACTTAAAAAAAAATATTTTTTTCTAAATCTAGAATAAATATCGTATGTATATTTAAATATTAAAATGAGATTCAATCTCTTTTATTGGATGAATATGTATTCAATATTTTGTGCTACTAGGGTATGTGAACCTGAGAGCCAACTGCCAAAAAATTAACTTTTTTTTACGGAAAATGATAGTGTTTCGTTTCAATTTTAGTATTAGGTTGTTACAATTTTTTTTCATTCATCAATTGATGAAACTACAAACGAAATACTATCAGTTTCCGTAAAAAAAATTAATTTTTTAAGTCAAGTCCCACGTTCACATAGCTTACAAGGAGACATCGCCTAGTGTCCCCCGAATTATTTAATCAAATTTTTTTCATATGTAAAGAAGGGTATGTAGGACAATCTCTGCAAGTGAGAAGGCGAGACTCTCTTTCGTTTTCGAGAAACAAATTTTTAAAAATAGCTAAATTTTGATTGACGAGTGCCAACCATATAAGAGTCGGAGGTATTATAGATGCAGCGTTGCATAGTCGGTAGAGTGCCATGTTGCGAAGGCAATCTTTTGCGCTGGAAGCGGTTCGATCCCGGTAGGAGTCGCTTATTTTTTTGTTTACTTTTTCTTCCATTTGTACCATGTTTTGTTATGGAAACTACGTTTTTATATATTAAGATTATTTTTATAGAATATTATGCAATTTTTTGTTTTTTATCGCATTGGAAAAGAAGTCAGAAAAAAGAAGGAAGAATAAAAGAAACGAAGAAAAAAAAGAGAAAGAAAAGGAAAAACAAGAAAGAAGAAAGAAGTTGTGCTACGTTTGTTTAATATAATTAAATTGTTATTTTCAAACTATAATGTAAGTTTTTATAAAAGCTTGTAGAAACTCTTTTCACATCATGACTTCTTTTCAAAGCGATAAAAAACATAAAAATTGCACAATATTGTATAAAAATACTATTAATATATAAAAAGGTAGTTTCCATAACAAAACATGATACAAACGGAAGAAAAAGTAAAAAAAAGAGTGACTCCTACCGGGATCGAACAGCGTTCAGCGCAAAGCTAGAGTTTCGAAGCGACGACGAAAGTAGAAAGAAACAGTTCGATGAAGAAGGAAGAGAGACTGAGAGTCGACGCTGGCAAATGAAAGGATACGGGATCGGGATGCTAAGCGCGATTTTGACCTCAGTGAAATGGCAACAGTGTAGAGAGACACTGTTGTGAGAACAGCAACATCGCAATTGTATCGACATCACGTAGGCAGTCGTCCTCAGTAAGCGCCATCTCCTATCGATTGTCTGAACTAAATTTGTGACGTAACTTGCTCTGCATTATCGAAAAAATGGTGGAACTCGTCTTTGGGAATGTTTTTACGATTTTTCGCTTTTTGTTCTTATATTAGCATATTTTGGGTTGAATGAGGGCTCATTCGAAAGAGGAAGGTCCAACGAAGGGTGATCTGGTCATCATTCGAGTCACAAAATCCATTTAGTAACCTAAAAATACTTCCATTCTACGGATGTGTTTTGCTCGACTTTTGTTCAACTTTGGACGCTCATATTATTAAATATCAACACACTATCGTTCTATCATGACCAGAGCACTCTTCGTTGGACCTTCCTCTTTCGAATAAGCCCTGTCCAAAATATGCTAATATAAGGACGAAAAGCGAAAAATCGCGAACCCCTTTTTAGGCCCACTTTTGCTGGTAATGTCATCTCGCTGCATTACCCGTGTCTATACCCTTAAATCTGTGCGTCAAAAAATGCTCTCGTGAGTACGTACCTTTAGTCGAACGTATTATTTCATTGTATCACAGCTATTGAAATAAACATTGTTTAACAATAATCTGCGTAGTTCGATTCCCAACAGAAATTCCGAAATTTTTTGATAACGGGACCACCCCGGAGACATGCTCTACAAGATGCAACAGGTTTCATTTCGATTGGTCCACCCACCTCGGCGCAATCGAGTCTATACATTAAAAAAATAAAATAAAAAAAATAAATAAATATACATGTCGAATTGAGTAACCTCCTCCTTTCCAAAGTCGGTTAAAAAGCATTGATGTCATTCTTTCAAAACGGTTTAAACGAAAATTGAGCAACGATAAGTAATCATTCCTCGTTGTTCAGATTATGCGTAAAATTCTAAAATAAATAATATATATATATAAAGATTTTGTTTGAAGATTATATATATTGCGTATATAATTATATATATAAATCCTCCTATATATAAATATATAAATATATATATATATATATATTTATATATACACATTTAATATATTAGACGAACAAGAAAGGATTAGAAATAAAAGTAAGAACACAAAATCGTGGCTGTTCAAGATTTTCAATTTCTTCCCCTGCTTCATAATCCACGGAGCCTAAGTGGCAATAGTCGACTTACTTCAACAAAATGAAACAACTCGTTTCCTCTTTTAGTCGCATACATCCGCACATGCACACATGAATATAAGTTAATTAGAAGGTGGTACGTTCGCGCATGTGCTGGCAGTTTTTCTCCTTTGAAAGGTTGTCAGCGTGTACATACCAGGGGAAAAAACAAATTAGGCGTATCGGCACCATATACGCTGACAACCTTTCAAAGAAGCAAAAGTACCAGCCCAGATCGCGCTTTATATTTCATCGCTCTCCCTTGTGTGCAAAAAGAAGAATGTTTTAGTATAGTTAAATACCTTCATCGCCTCGACGAACATACAATCCAACATTTTGGCATCTCGATAACAGCAAACATCCAGGACTATGTAATTACGATCACATGTTTCAAACTGATTAATGATGTGAAGGTAGAAAAATGCTTCGGTGACAAACGTTCTTTCCAGCAAGCCCGTCTCCCTTGAAACCACGTGTATAAGGGTCTGCAATAAATAGGGAAAGATTAACAGAAGCACAGGAATGAAATTAAACCCTTGCACTCGAGAGGTGACTCTCAGTCCCCGCTATTTTAAGTTATAAACGTAACTCCAATAACACTCAAAATAAGAGGCAACGAGCTTTGTTCATATTGGTACATAAGTATGAAATGGTATATCACACCCATGAAGACTGTATAAGGAGATCCAACTCATTGAGCTCTATCCTAACTGGAGTGTGAACTGCGAGAGAGAAGCCGGTCCGAAAGAGATGCAAGATGAGTGGTTCCGGTGATACTATCCTATAGCAAATTTATGTGTGGAGGGAGACCAGACTCCTCTTTATTTGAATTTCGCGGCACTAGGAATTATTTACAGATTAATTATGTACAGATTTGAACTTTATTTCCTTTTTATTTATATGTAGAACGATAGAAACATTAATAATAATGACATAATAATGAAAGAGTATACATAATATACATAATTACGGCGTACGTTTGTTCCCCCTCTACAAATAAATTTGCTATAGGATAATACCGGAACCACCCATTTTGCATTTCTCTTGGACCTCCGTCGCCTTAGGTCGGTAATGCCATTCTGTTGTAAACAGACGATCATACATGCCGTGAACGTTTGATATGTGTGGGGACTTTCCCCTAGGCTTAGTCAGGTTGGCACTTTTGTCGCGTCGGCGTGGGGTATTTCCAGAAAGTGGCGAGCGTGCAACAAAGCATCTCTAGCGAAAGACAGTTGCACGCTCGCCACTCTCACTCTATCTTGTTCACGGTCTTCGTCTCGCGGTACCGTTTGCCTAGGCCGATACCGAAAATGCGTATTTTGACCTGGTCAATACCGAAGATGCGTGCGGGTAGGGGTGTCGACCTTCCGCGCGCCAACTCAGCAGCAAGCGACTATACACAGTTAGCCTGAGGGGCTTATAGTTTAGCGGGGGGTCGAGGGGGCACAGCCCCCTGCGTGGCAAGGGGGCTGGGGGGCACAGCCCCCAAGCATGCGTATAATGGAGATATATATGCTTTTCAATTTTTGTAAAAGGATTTTGCGCGAAAATTATATGCCTCGAAATTACGCGTAGCTATACGCAATATTCATTGTAGTAGTAGCAATGATATTTTGCAAATATCTTGGAAACTAAGGCCGAGCGACAGTTATATGTATAGGAAAAAGTTATTCGCAATGTTGATTTCTACAACATATTTAAATATTATCGAAATCGGAGAGGATGTACCTGTTCTCTATAATTACCACAAATACTTAGAGAGATTCACTTTGTCATTAGTTCAACATACATTTTCGTTTTCGTGCCACTTCAGAGCCGCGCGCATTGGTTCCTGCTTCACTTTGCAGACCACTATAGTAGTAAGAGAAATTGCAAGTGGTTGCTCGATAATTATGAAATAGTTTTCAGTGATACCAAACGTGTGCATGTAAGAGGGATTCAACAGCCACCTGGATGGGACACTAGCGACAATAGTGGCTTGGTCAAACATTGACAATTTCTTTTCCTCCCCTGATCCATCTAGAACAATGAATTACAGAATAATGAATCCAAAAATTTTAACTTAACACCATTAGTTACTACACAGTATATTTGCATCAATCTGATAATTTGCTTAATATGTACTATAATAATTATAGGTTACGGTCCACTATAAGGTGCATTTAAGATGCACTATAAAAATTATAGGTAAGATAAATACAAAATATTTTAATGACTAAAGATATACAAATCCCCGAAAATAGGCGAGATTTCGAAATTTGAAACGAGATGAGACTCGAATATTCGAGACAAGACGAGATCTCGAGTTGAAAGTGAGATGCTGAACGCAAAACCGAGATCTCGAATCTCAAACCGAGATTCCGAACAATTCCGAGTCCCAAACCGAGATCCCGAACGATTCCGAATCGAAAACCGATTACACCCTATATTTTATAATTGAATATCTGGTCCTCCCGTCTTTTAATAATATTGAAATTAATAAAACACAGTGAACAATCTCGATTCAGGATTCGTGATCTCGGTTGGATCTCGTGCGGGGAAAAAGTCGACAGATACCGATTGACCCGAGCGATGACGAAGATTCTGAGGCCGACATAAAGAACCGAGGTTTCGGTTTTCGATTCGGAATCTTGTCAGTGCTCCGTTGGAGGATTGGTGAGCGGTAGAACGATGCTTTATCTAGAAACGCGGTAGCGCCACGACGCCAAGTACATGAAAAATTATACGCCACCGTGTATCTGGTGCTGGCGCTACCACGTATCTTTTACTCGTAAAACTGCGAACATTTTTCTAATGTAAATCGTATATAAGCTTTCTAATGAAACCAAAATCAATAAAATCGGTCCATGTACAACTGAGACATCGTAATATCATGTCATGAATCTGTCAGAAACTGTAGATTTTTCTTCTGATTTTCATTCTTTTCGTCAACACTTAGCCAATAGGAGCTAAGGCCGTTCGTCGATTCGTCGACTCTCGGAATCAGTCGGCAGGGCTCGTCGGCCGAAATTGTAATATGGCTGCCGCTCACGCCGCTTGTTCATTTCTAACCTATACAACCTGTCAGTTTGTATTTGTGACAGTTGTCATTTCTAACCTGTATAACCTGTCAGTTTGTATTTGTGACATTTGGACGCCGCAAATTGAATAAGTCTTTTAAAGATCACTACGTGTAGTGATATTGTATTGGGAAGTATATGGTTATAAGTGATGAAATATCTACCTTGTCGTTGTGGAAAGAAATATATAAATTTGGTGTTTGAGTGTGCAGTTGATAATAAAAATTTCAGTAAATGTTCATTTTGTACAAATAAGAAACATTGTGCAATAAGACTAAGTGTTCTAATACAATAAATTGAGTGTTACAAATTGTGGACCACTTTTTTTATTTTCACTTCATGATAAACATTTAAATTGCTTGCAACAAGACTTTCTATCACGCGTTCTGTGTACGTATGAACTGTAAAAAGAAAGGGAGAGAGAGTAACAAAAGTGAATATATATATTTCATTTGACATTAATTTTATTTGTAAATAACACATACAAACCTTATTTTACTTGCAAATTAATGTAGAGCTTAAAATAAAAATACATTTGTCTTTTATTATAGCAAGCATAGAGTCTACAATATACATAATGTGTCTGAAGCCAGATATAGGAAAGACACCAGCTTCAGTCCTTTAAGTTTCCAAAAGTATACAGAACGCAGGATGTCTCACTGCAAGAAATTTAAATGTTAAAGATGAAGCGAGAAATGAAAAAAGAAATCCACTATCTGTAACGCACAATTTATCATATTGCAATATCAGTTTCAGTCCATAGAATTTTCAAAAGTACACACAATGCATGGCAGAAAGTTTTGTTGCAAGAAATTTAAATAATGAGAAAATGAACAGACATCCACTATTTGTAACACATAATTTATTGTATTATTATAATATAGAAAAAGAGAGGTCAGACTTAGTCCTTTAAGTTCTCAAAAGTACGCACAACACATGACAGAAAGTCTTGTTGCATTTAAATGTTACTGATAAAGTGATTACATTTCTTCTTTAATAAATTTCTTGCAATGAGACTTCGTGCAATGCGTTCCGCGTACTTTTGAAACCTTAAAGGATTCAAGCTGATCTCTCATTTCCTATTATTTAAAGTCATTCACTATACAAATTATCTTTGTAAAGAGAAGTGATATCCCCATACAAAACTTCAAAAAAGTAAAAAAATTACTCCAAGTATATGAAAAAGTGGAGAACTCAAGGAGTTATCATAGAAAAATAAAAGATCCCCATAAAAAACTACAAGAAAGTAGAAAAAGATGTGAAATCAAAATGAGCTCCCAGTACATGAAAGTCCTTTCCAATAAAGTGCAAAGGCGACACTGTGTAACACAATGTAAAATTCGGTGGTTTCCAACTATGCGCAACTAAAATGCTGTGTTCAACAGTGCGAACGTTCAGATTCTAATGACAATTCATGTAACGTGACTGGTCCGCACTTTAGCGGTGGACATGAAGAAGCTAAATAGCGTATTATCCACAAACTGGGGGTGTTTACAAATTTGCCTAGACATCTGCGGCCTGGAAGTCAAATGCTTGGCGTGGCTAGCCAAGGTCGTGTCGATGAGTAAGAATTATTTTAAAACGCAAAATAACGAAAGTGTATTTATATTGTCAGGCGTTCTGACCTGCCGAGCTTCGCGGCTTGGTACTTATGGGCTCGACCGAGCAACTTCGGCTGCGCGAGTGCTGCCGCAGTTCGAAGTGCTCGGCCGGCGCCTGGCGGTGAATGGCGGAGTTACGGCGCGCAAGGCGCTCCGAAGGAGAGAGAGAGAGGATCGCGGCTAAGTTACACGTCACAAGTTGACTGCTCGAGTTGAATTTGCTGGGGTCAGGACGTCCACTCTGAAGAGAGGGGAGTAATGTTGCGACGGCAGATGGCCCGCAATATTCTGAAGTTGTATCGTCGCGACAGTGTGAAGATGTTGTGTGTGTACGTAAATATGTATAGTATATTTATATACTGTGTGTAAATATCCACCAAAGTATTGAAACTCACGAATTTCATCACAAACGCTATTTTTCCTGTTGCAATATCGACTAATAAAGCAACAATTTTACAATATTACATCATTTGGCATTATGATAACTATAAACTAATACACTGTTGGATTCAGAATAAAAGAACACTTTTATTAATCTAGAAATAAATCAAATTTCTTAAAAATTTCGAGAAGGAGAGTAATTTTGAAAAAAAATTTTTTCGAAAATTGTTTCACACTGGTTCACAATTGTTTATAGGTCTTTAAAAACAGTTCAATGGTTATTTGAACATTTTTTCGATATCTCTTATCATTTTCCAGTTACGCACGCATAAGTGAACGGAGCAGCTCGGAGAAAAGGGGTAGTTTCTTCCTCAAAGTGAGAAACGAGCACGAAGGAATTACACCTGTCTTCTTAGATAGGTCTAAGAATTATTTATGCCAAATTTCATCAAAATCGGAGTGTATCATTTCACAAGCTTCGCTTATAAGAAGTCATTATATGCTAGCGATCGGTCGATATATTGATTTTTCGGAGACAGCTGATCTGCCGATGTTTCGGTCAATGACCGGTTCTTGAAAGGTGGAGACAGCTGAGTGGGCCGAGTGGGCCGAGTGGCGGCAAACTGTCAGTGGCTCCAAAACAAATATCCAATGACCGATGCCTTACTATCGGTAACGCATGAAAGGGGCAAGCAACCTGACGTTGCATTGCTATGATTGGTGATAAGCCATATTATATTAAACATTAGAATAAATGTTCTAGAAAGATCTGGCCACGGAGTGGGGAAGGCTTGGCCTTCTGGAAAGAGGACCGTGTTGAACCGCACGGCACTTACCCCAGAACTGTTAATTCGAGAAGACGTGATTATTAATATTTTAATATATCGTGAGGTTTGTTATCCACAAACCTTAACGTGCACGTGTTCGGTTTTTTTGATTGTGTGGTGACATACAGAACAATTGCGATCATGAGTAATGTGAATGAAGTAGACAAGACGTCCATTGCAAGCGAAACTGCTCCAAGTGTGTCCGGTGAAGAGGAAACAGTGTCGGGCGAATCCACCGCGATCTCTTTTGAAGCGCTCTTCCGACAGTTTATGGACAAAATTACGCAAGGATCGGTGCTCACTAGTTCTGCAACGGCACAGAATATTCCTGTGGATGCTATACCTGAGTTCAGTGGAGACGACCTCGGAGAAGATGCGAGCAAGTGGTGCGATATAGTGGAAAAGATTACGGAAAAACTATCTCTTGTGCAGCGATTGAGTCTTGCTACACATGCTTTAACCAGTTCGGCCAAGAGGTGGTACAAAGGATGGAACGGTAATCCGCGTACTTGGGTGAAGTTTCGCGAGTACTTGTACGGGATATTTGTTACTGAAGATCGTCTTTGTGAGAAATTAGTTCGCGCAGTAACATATACAAGCGATTCGGCAGACACGTATTCAGAATACGCACGTCATAAATTAAAATATTATGGACAAACACAGATTGTTTTTAAGCGATCCGAATTGATAAGTTTAGTCATTGGACATATTTGTGATCCTGTGGTGCGACAATCGTTAACTAATTCGTGTTATAAAACTACCACGGAGTTATTAAGTGGCGTTTCGCAATTTGTAAAACCGCCGAGGAGTGACAAGGGAAGAGGGAAGGAGGCGATTAAGGACAGAGAAAAAGTGGACATTTCACGCCAAAATTCTTTGAAGAGATGATGCCATTTGTGTCAACAGCTTGGACATTTGCGATATGACTGCCCTAACAAGAAAAGAAGACTAGAAAACGAAGCGCCCCGAAATGCAGACAAACCGCCTGTCACGTGTACCTTTTGCCACAAGAAAGGTCATATTGAATCGCAATGTTGGGCTAAGCAACGTACGGAACAAAACAGCCGAAATAAGAAGAAACCTGAAGTGAATGTATGCTATTCGATTGATCATAAATTGACACCGGTTTTATTGAAGAATCAACTAATACGATCCTGTTTGATCGATAATGGTGCAACATGCTCTCTTGTTAAAGAAAAAGTTGCTAAACAAGCCAATTGCAAGATTGACCTATATACTACCATCATACATGGATTGTGCGACTTTTGTACAACGACTGTTGGATCTACGACGACAACAATTCAGACGGAAGACGTGTCAACCGAATTAGACATGCTAGTTGTTTCGGATAAGGCAATACCTTATGATGTCATCATTGGGAAGAATGTTCTATCAAACGCTGACTTACAAATCATAACTGATCGAGATGGAACAACGTGGCTTCAACGGTGTGAACCTATTCTTCGAGGCGACAATGGGGAGATGATGGAAGCTACGAGTTACACGCTGAAAGTTGGAGATGATACTGTTCGTGAAGCCGTACGAGACCTTATGACGAAATTCGAACATATGTTTTCGACTGGAAACCGGGTGCGGTGCGTAAGTACTGGAGAGATGCGGATCGTTACACAGGACGATAAGGTAATCAATTATCATCCTTACCGTTTATCACTCTCGGAGCGAGAAAAAGTACGCGAAATCGTGGACGATCTGTTGGCCAATTGCATTATACGCGAAAGCAGTTCGCCTGTCACGAGTCCTGTTATTATTGTTAAAAAGAAAAATGGAAAGGACCGTTTATGTGTAGATTTCCATTCGTTAAATAAAATTATAGTAGTAGTAAAGGTAGGCGGGTTTTAAGCCATGGGGCTCCGAGGGGGGAGCGGGGGGAGGGCGAGGGCGAGGGGAGGTGTGAGGAGGGGGAACCGACGGCGAGAGAAACCCAACGATTTCAGAAATTCAGCATTCGATGCAGTCAGCTTCGCAGGTGATCGAATTGTTTTCTCTTTGTTTTCACGTGTCGTCTGCTCCGCTTCGTTCAATACAAGCATCTCCCACTACGGCCGTTGTCTCCGTACATGCAGTCGAACGGTGATCTGCTCCCCTCGAAAATCTAACAATTGGCCGTTTTGATCCACGACGCGAATCGTCAAATCCGAAATACTTCGTGCAGTGATCGGAAGGTAAATGATCTGTGTCGGTCTTTCCGATATCTTATATCCAGGTGGAACGGTAGGCGAAAACTCGTGTATCGTGTGCACGCTCTTGTTATTGCTGTAAGCACCAGCCGTCACGTTGCATTCAATGCGAATAATGTTTACGTTCATTATATTGATTGGCGCATCCGATTCGTGCCATTTTCGCGGTTGCAGCAACCGATTCGTCGAAAACCCCAGCAACGAACCAATAGTATTGGGTTTGGTAAAATTAATGCTGTAATCGCACTTGATTTCGCTCTTCATCGTATTATTGTTAGCTCTAAGTATCAACGGGTTTCCATCATTACCCTGCGAAAGCGATCGTCGCAAATACATGTGAATGTCATCCAGCTCGTAAGATCCTTCCAGAATAATGATTTCCTTATCATCGTTATCGTAGTAAAATTTATTATTCGACAAATTTATATTCAGTATGGTGTAATAAGTCTCAAAGTCCGTAAGACCGAGCTCGTAATCACCATCGCTCAGATCGATGGACGGAAAATAGCTTACTGCGAGAATGCTACTTTGGCCGGTGAGCGTTAACGTCAGCGACATGTTCAAACGAATACTGGAGTTAAAGTGTGCAATGAATGCCCTTAAATTGATCGTCAACCGTCTGCAGAAACTGCAAACATAGCTGTCCGCAATTGCTCTGATTATAGCGCTGATAAGGCCTGTGATTATACTCGATTACGCTATTCTTGAAATACTGTATCAGTTCCCTCAGCGGTTGAAGATTGCCAAAACTATCGAAATATATGGTGTGAGTTCCCCGTTTTGCGTACGCAACCCAATGAGTACCAGGTCCCTCGAAAGCATCCAAATTTACGATTCCGCTCTTGTTCCTGTGTATCCCATCTGTTGGTAAAGTATTGCGCATAAAAACACCCCTGAAATATGGAATACGCATACGCTTTGCCAGATGCTGTAGTTGTACGTTGGTGGTTACACCTTCGGGCATTTTAATTTTGACGTTTTTTTTTTCTCTTTGGAACTCCTCGTCCGCGTTTGTACGGCGCGAGATGTACTCCACGACCTTCCATAGCACGATTATGCCGTTGCATTTCCTCCAGCTGTTTTCGCGCAGATTTGGCGTCGTTCACGCCAGTAGCATCACCGGTTAACGCTTCTATAGCTGATAAGGCGGGAAGGAGAAACGGAAGGATACCGCCACGCTTTGCTATCGGTAGAGCTCGCTCCCCCTTGTTCTTCTTACTACGACTCTTTTTCTTCTTGAACTCCATTCCAAGCTTCGTCTTAGCTTTCATCGCAGTCCGAACTGCTGCAGCAGTCGCCCTTTCGCCGAATGTAGCGTCCTTCGCAGTTATGCGCTGGCGTGCTCGATCAGCTAAAATTCGATCTGCCTCGTGACGATTGGTCAAATCTTTGTTTCGAGAGTACGCAATATCGTGTTCTCTACAAGCTGCATCCAACGGATTTATACCTCGATCGCCGCGTGCTGAACGTTTGTCCAGGCGTGTACCCGGTCCGCAAAATTGATACCCTGGTACGTGTAGCTCAAACGGTAATTTGTTTATTAGAGTATTTACAAGTCCTGCTCCTGTCCTTCTACGCATAGGTAACAATCTTTTTTCATAGACGTTGGTCCGTCTATGTGCGTACGTTGATCTGGATGATTGTAATGCAAGAGACACCTACGATAAGACTGGACTTCAGGATCAACTCTTATATGTTTCGGTAGCTTGTCCCACACGTAATGTATGTCGCGAGCAAAACGATTCAAGAGTACAATCTTTGGTATGTATTCCAGCTGCTCCGTAGTCAAATCAAACAGTGTATCACCATCGATCAGTACAAAAGTCATTGTCACACTAAACGATACGTTTGTACGGCGCTTGTATAAATACCTGCGACATCGACACATACGTTTTCTTTCATTTTTTACCACAGCTACGATGCGGTTCATGCGCCAATCACCTGCGATTAGAGTGACTAATGTAGACAAAAAGGCACAGTCTGAGAAAGAAGTACACAAACATGGAAATATGCTACCGACCTCTATACGTGGTATCATCTGCGGCCCATCGAATTGCGGCAAAACGAACGTGCTGATTAGTTTGTTAGAAAGTCCGCACGGTGTTCGCTTCGAAAACGTATACGTGTACTCGAAATCATTGCAACAACCGAAATATCGATATCTAGAAAATATATTCTCGTCGATAGACGAAATTGGTTATTTTACATTTTCGAATAACAGCGACGTCGTTCCACCGAGCGAGACACTTCCGAATTCAATTTTTATCTTTGACAATGGCATGCGATAAGCAAAACGCGGTAAGAGAATACTTTGCAATGGGTAGGCACTCGGACGTTGACTGTTTCTATCTTTGTCAGACATATGCGAAGATACCGAAACATCTGATACGCGACAACGCGAACCTGCTGATCATGTTCAAACAAGATGGTACAAATCTGAGGCATGTATACAGCGATCATGTAAACACAGACATGTCTTTTGAGAATTTCTGCAAATTGTGTACCGCTTGCTGGCAAGAAAAATATGGATTTGTAGTGATTGACAAAGACAGTGCTTTATGGAATGGTCGCTATAGAAAAGGATTTAATGACTTTGCAATATCGTAACACGTCCAGTTATCTCCGATACGTTGAGAAAGCAGTGTTCCAACATGAGCAGTAACAGCGTTGAAGATCGTGAGAGGATAGCGAAACAAATTGCAACAACGAGCGATTTGATTCGCAAAAAGTATCGTGAATTGAAAACTGGTAAAATTGACGAAGAGATTGCGTTGGAAAAACACTTTAAACCTGTTACTGAACTACTGAAGACAATTGTCAGCAACACGTTAAGAAATTATGATCTACACAATAACACAGATATCGAAAGCGAACCATTATCCACTCCGAATATCAAGGAATCGGATAAAATACAATCAAATTTGTGGTTAAATTTCTCGAAACCGCCAAATATTAAAAAATCAAGATTAAGCAGTTTACCCGATATGAACCTGATAGCCTCTACACCGACTTCTACACCGATTAAGACAGTACCAACAACAACAACAACAACAACAACAACAACAACAACAACAACAACAACAACAACAACAACAATAACAATAACAAAACGCTTAGCAAACTAAGATGTTTTTGAAAGTCCAAACAGCTATTTCTCGACATCTGTTCGAAGCCAATTGCAAACGCCGGAAAGCGAAGAAACGGTACGTAATCATCTAGGTCCACTGAGTCAAAAATACATCGCACCTGTATTACGCGGCGAAGTAGACGTTGGTATGGATTACGTGTACGGTGTTTATCTCATCAATGATGGACTGATAATAAACATGTTGACGTGGACAATGCAGATAACATAATTATCGATGGCATACGATATTCGGGGACACCCGGCCTTTATGAACTGATATTCAAGAAAACTCCGGTAACGACATTTACACTGAGGCTGATGAACGCAAATACAGGGGCATACTGCTGACAACGAGTGCACATAAGCACAAGCACAATTCGTATGGTCAAACATTAGGCAACAGAGGATACAAGTATAACCATGTAATCAAACCTTTATTGCAAGATAAAAAAGTTAGAAAAGGCATACCGTGTTCCATGAGATTAACCAAAAACAACATTGATTACGTTCACTTGAACGATCCCAACGAACTCGTAGATCGGCTTCGATTGCTCGAGGCTTCACATCAAGCCGGTCACAATGCTCACGACAATGAGATGCTATCGATTATCGAGGAACTTCGCGAGGCAGAATTCATTATAAATTAAGCTGCACTTTGGCGATACAGTCAATCGTCATTAAAATGTCAATCAACAAGTTTGGGTCATCGATTGGAAGAATGGAATCATACTATCATTGGAATGGAGTAGGAATTATGTACGTGACAACGCTCTTTGTGTTGTCGGCACCAATTATGACGCAAAGTCGCGCAGGATTCGATGGGTAGCACCGCCTGTAGAGGATGGCGATGCTATCAACAAGCTTGCATGAAAACATGGCAGTTATAAAAAGTCGACAAGACGTATTCGACAAAAAGATGATTATGTTTCAAAATTTCCTTCAGAGCTTGAAAGATGAGCTGAATAAATTAGAGAGGGATATTACCGAATTCCGAAATCTAATGCAGACACATCAATAGCTGGACATTGAGACTATTTACCGACAGACATACCGATCAACAGACCGGTCAACCGACCGATTAACCGACCGACATACCGGTCAACAGACCGGTCAACCGACCGACATACCGGTCAACAGACCGGTCAACCGACCGATCGACCAACCAACCGTTGTGTTGAGCACCGATTTGATGTTTGATAAGACGTGTACGTCAAGTCTTTGTGTCAGTGTCGAGTCATACATGGCTGCAAAGAAAACTCCCAGTACCGAGAAACGGTGTCTCGTGGAAGAATTGCATGTTCCGGCGAGAAGAAATTTTCCCTGAAGATGCGTCATAGTACATGGGTACGACGACTTATGGCAAGCGAACGTGATCGAGATGCGACCTTACGCGCGGTATAACAGAGGCTTCCATTACATACTCACTGTTATCGATGTGCTGAGTAAACATGCATGGGCCATACCCCTCAAATCCAAGAGTGGAAATGAAGTTTCTACAGCGATCGGAAAGATAATCCGAAACAGTGGAAGGTATCCGAAAAATTTGCAAACCGAGAAAGGAAAGGAATTTTACAACGCAAATGTGCAAAAACTTTTGTCAAAATACAATATAAATCATTATTCAACGTATTCAGTGATGAAAGCGTCAGTCGTCGAACGGTTCAATCGTACGCTCAAAAACGACATGTAGAAACTATTTACGCTTAATAGAAGTTATAAATGGATCGACTCACTGCAGCAACTCGTATCAAATTACAATGCGCATCGAACTATCGCCATGCGACCAATTGACGTTACACCAACAAACGCCTCGAAGCTCCTAACAACGGTATATAATCACGTAAAGATTGCCCCTCCCGCACGATTCAGAGTGGGAGATGCGGTACGTGTGAGCAAATTCAAAACAATTTTTGAAAAAGGTTACACACCTAATTGGGGTACTGAAATATTTACGATCGCCGAAGTTCAGAAAACTAATCCCGCAACGTATCTTATGAAAGATGTTTATGGAAAACCAATTGCTGGGGGATTCTACGAACACGAGTTGCAACGCGTTGCCGACGCTGATGTGTACCTTGTGGAAAAAGTGTTACGTCGGAAAGGGAATAAGGTGTACGTGAAATGGTTAGGATTGAATAGTGCACACAATTCATGGATAAATAACGATAATGTATTGTAAAAAATTAACATTTTTTAAATTAAATATTCAGTTTTATATATATACTAGCATTATTAGTTACATTACAATGTTTTGTTTTTACAACTAAATATATATGTACATCTATTAAAATCGAGGTAAAAATGATTTACAAAATACATATACTGATATATCTAAAGCGGTATTTTATAATGACCCCACGGCAATGTATCCATTGAGTCGGGTACGATATACCGCTTATCGTCGTACGGACTCAGAGCGATTTTTGATTCCGCCATTGTGTATACTTTGTGTAATTTTGATCTTATAGATGTCTGATTACGAATCATTTCAATTTCGTTTCGTAGGCACTGCGTGTAGTCGTCGAAAGTTATCATCCTGGAAACAACGTTACTTTTTACACCTTTCGCCTTTTTCGTATCTTTTTTACCATCTACACGCAGTGCATACATTTTCACTCTGAGTCAAACAAATTCTGTCATTACTGCCCCATTGTTTTCATCTTTCAGCAAACCGGGGACTTTTTTGTTTACAAGCGGTATATCGTAAACGTTCCCTACCGGATAATCACTGGTATCAAATCGATTAATATCGCATTTTATAGTATCATAAATATTCTCGCACTCGATGTGGTAAATTAAACTATCCGTATCGGTGTACATAACTTTACATTTATCGCCATGTGTGAGTAACATGTAATCGTGATGGAATTCATACCAACAAACCTTAGATATATCTAGTATACACATACCCACATAGATTGGTTTGTTGAACTTCACCGCAAGCTTTCGTAGTACGATGGCAACTAAGTTTTCCGAAAACACGCTACGGCTGTGGAAATTTGGTTTTGCGATCATTGCCTCCGCACCATATCTCCCTTCCCATTTTGTTACTAATTTTACATCGACGTGATTGTGTACATTCTCCATAGTTTTGCCAAATACCGCATTGTTCATCAATTTATACAAATTCTTTTCAAAATCGTTTGTAGCGAGAGTTCTAAACTTTGTATTTACTTCGATGTAATCGCGGAGCCAGGGTGATTGTGCGAATTGGGGGACGCGGTATACCTTTGTAATACGAATACCATGTTACGTGCATTGCTGCAGGTTACGATAGTGGATAACGTAGCGCTACTTATTGTGTAGAGTTGCGAGCAGCTTGTCCTCTCTTTTGTCAGGTGGTCTGGCACGTGTTGGACAGAACGGCAGGTCCGCGTGAATGTCGTGCAAGCGTTGCGGATATTCTAGATCAACCTCTAGAATATAACCCGTGGGCGAATCGGCAGCAATCGAAGACACGTCAAAGTTTGCAACGTTGTCGACCCATCGAAATTCTGCATATGGCAATGGTGGACACATTGCCCACCCATACTGATTATTTACATCAAAGTACATCAAGTACGACGATGCTTTCGATGGATCGTACGACTGCATGTACTTATTGTTGGCTTTCGCATATCTACCTGAACAGTGACTTAATCCGCCGCGTATACCGCGTTCGATAAACAGGACCATGTCGATATCTGTTAGTAATTCGAAATTAACTTTTGTATGCTTCAGCATGGCATCCCACGTAAAACCGGACAGAGTGTAATAATACGCGGGATCGAATCGGCCAACAGCAAGACATCTGTTTTCAAATACAAATCGCTATATTCGCCCAGCGTTTGAATGGAAAACCGTGTCCACGCGTTCTCGGCGTGCGCGTACTCGCTCTCCGATACTGTATCACCCGTCACGGAACTATAAAATGATTCGCGCGATGGCAAACATGATTGTTCCAACTTTTCGGCACAGTCAATGTACTCGTATGGAAAAACACCCTTTGCGTCAATAATTCGAAATCTTCGATAGACAAATTTTGAAACTCGGTTCGTAAAATTCTTAATTTGCTTTTATCTAAGAAAGACGCTAATTTATCGAGAATGGTACTCAAGAATTTGTATGAATCGATGAATCTCAATTTTATACAATTTCGCGCCGGTCCATTTGGATCGTTGACACTTTTTGTGAACGAGATGTACTTTTCTTTTGTTATCGGCAATACACTGACGACACCCTCGAAAGCTGTAGCTATTTCTTCGATAATAAAATGCGAATCGTAACCGGACAAATTATGAAAAACTATGGGAATGCAAAAAGAGTTTTTATAATTTAGATTACAATTGGAGTGCGCGGGACCTCTGTACCGACCGGTTAGATGGCAATGATCGCGAACCCTCGTATCGTTTTCTCCAAACGGTTTTTGGCAAATGTGACAATGCGTCACGTTGCGAAATGCCTCCTGCTGTTCGCTCGTTAAATCATCCATTTGTATGTTATTTGATAAAATTGATTTAACAAAATGTGCCAAATTCTTTAATTCTTCGACGAACCAGGAAACACAATTCGCATCACGACGACACTGATACACTGACAAGGACGAATCGTACGCGCATTGAACATAATATGCAATACTTAATACTTTATGATGCTGGTATGTGGATCTTGGCGCTTCTCGATCAGTTTTCTCCAGAATGCACTCGAGGTCGGCGTACACCACAAATGGAAGTCGCTCTTTCCGGATGTAGTTGTCGAAGCTGAGCCACTTGCTTTCATCATCTGGTAATACGATTGCGCATTCGTTCATCTTCTCGCAATCTACGGTGTGAGCTTCCAGCTTCTCATTCGAACTAAAGTAGTGCAAGCATCTGCAATAGAAAGACATACATTTTTTTTCAAACATAACAAATTTAAAAAAGAAAAAAGAATTATTATGTACATACCTATCGCAAAAGTATTTTCTGCGTTTATGTTTACTCAATTGTGAGCTCACGAGGCGGGACAAGTTTTTGATCCACGCGAAATGTCCCACGCCGTTTGCTCCTTCTAAATACAGCAAATTGACATGTCTCTCCATCTTCCGTGTGGCGAGCCGTATCGGTAGAACCTTCTTTTCTTCAGTGGTGTAGACGTTGATGGAGATGCTGTTGGCGTGTTCAAACTTTTTAATTTGGTTCAATTTCATTGGAAATTCGATATCCTGGATATTCAACACCATTGAATGAGGATATGCCGATGTCCGATATACGTGATTTTCGGCTGGATGCAGAGCAGCCACCACTGACCACGCGAAACATGCATTGTCGTTCGAGCATACGTTGATTACAGCTCTCTTTAGTTGTATTTCTCGTGGTAATTGTATGATACATTCAGCATGCAGCGGCATATATTTATTCACGTTAACAATTAAATTGAGTATACGCGACTGCGCCCATCCGCTATCCCGTTCTTGAAATTCTTCCAGCGATGCTAGGGTGGGTTCGACGATGCGTTGCTCGTACCACTCTTCGAGATTGATCTCGTCAAAGATTTCACAGTTCTTTGTGCTGATAGTCTTGTTCGAGCGTTTATCACCCGCTACAAACTCTCCATTAAATGCGGTATTCACTTTTAGTGTCTTATGTTTCACCAATGCACCCCGTATATGCTTGAGCACAACGTCTCTCGCATCCTGAAGAAAGTTACGCGGTTCGATGTAGTATGAATTCAAAACAGCGCCGGTTAATACGCGGCTCTCGAACGCAGTGTCTATTTCACGCCACAAGAGTCCAGTGCTTGAATGGCCGGCACCTTCATACACGAAACGTCTGCGCAACAAATACTTTAGACTATCGAGACGCGCGATGCGAGCGATCAACGATTGTTGAACACCGATCGATAATCGAGGACGTTTTGCTCGACAATGTTCTTCCAGCGACTCGAGGCACTCGTTGCATCGTTCTCCCCATGCGAGGTATTCTTCTTGCGAAGTCAATCGATCGGCCTGGTCCCACAATCGACATTCCATTTCCAAAAGTTCTTCCATGGTTGCACTCACTTCTTCGCTGGGGATCACTACAGAACGGTTTGAATGCAGTTCAATCTGCAGCACAATTTTTATACTCTAGGTCACGTGATTTTGTCACGTGATTTTGTCACATGATATGCTCCTACTATGATGTCACTGCCTGCAGATTTTCATAATCCCCTCATATTCCGTATCGCTGTTTTCGTATGTTTTCCTGAGACCGTATATATATATATTTTGGGGAATTACACCACTGATGTATCAATTCATTAGAACGACTCCGCGATGATGAGGGTCTTATTACGTATAAAAAAAATTAGATCACGCGCTACATAAAGATGTGTATGCTAAAAATAAATGTGGATAAGAAAGTGAAATGTGTGTGGGAGGGGAGATTTGCTGTTTCAGCATTTTTTTTGTCCTTCTAACAAAGAGTGCGGGGTGTTATATAAAAATGTTTAAACGCGTTTTTTCAATCATTGTTCGCAACATCGTTCTATCGCCTCGTATCGAAACATCAGCGATGTGGTCCAATGCTGAAATCGCTCGAGCAACGCGAGAGAATCTTCCGAACAAGGAGTTCAACCAACCATTAACAAAGAAATCGCGCACACAGTAAGTTCTTTGACAATATATTGCAAAATATGCAGTCAAAATTCAATATCCTTTATAATTTTTTGTTTCTCTTGTCAGTGATAGCGATAATGTTCATTCGGAACGTAGAGTAACACGCGTGGTGCGTATACTGGGGAGGAGATATCCCCTGACGGATACATTCTATAAGTATCTCGACATCGGGGTTCGAATCGGTGGTTTCTGCGACGTAGAGTTGGCTATAGGAGACTCTCGTGAAAACGAAATTAAATTTTCTATGGATACGTGAAAAGATCTCCTACGAAAGAGGCATAACATTCTGCAGATTTTTGCTGATACACCAAGAACCTCGAGCGAGCCGATAAGCATTAATGATGTAACAGTTAAACTCCGACAACTAAACGACGTAAAACTCGCAAAACTCTCAAATTCTACCGTCTCTATGTTCATGAGTGAAAAAACCATACAAAAGTTGTTCGCTTTCGAATATTGTATCGATCACATGTACAGTTGGCTGTCTGAAAACTTGTACCTGGTAGAATCACAGGTATAAGTACAACAAGTTTATAGAAATAATAAAAAATGCTGAAATTAAGGATTATGCAAAGGCAATTGTTGAACATGAAAATTTTGAGCGTCATTCATTGATTAACTCTGAAGTGTTAGCATTAGGTTTAGATGTAATGTTGGAATACAGTTATCAATAAAAAAGAAATAGCTTGGATATATGTGTTTTTCTTTTCAGCGCATTTCCTCCCATATCATATTCTCATCCGGTGTAATGTTTCCCTCGCACGTGCTCCAGTATTCTCATCATCAAAAGAATGATGTCACCTCTACCCTTTCTTTAATATCTAGTCCTTGAAAAATTGTATCGCGCAAATAAAAGATTTGCTGCCGGATTGTAATTTGCAAACTTTGCGTTTTTGGATCTTCTGCTCGAGGCCATCGTCGCGAGACGTTCCTGCCGATGGCTGCGTCAAAGATTGTAATGTAATATTATATGTTGCACGGGGTATGAGTGCGAGGAAGAAAATACTTGGGCGCGAGAGAGAGAGAGGGAACCCGCGGGGCCCGAAAAAACACCCCCACTCCTGCGCGCGAAGAGGACGGTTTCCCCCACCCTTACGCATTTATTTCGTTACATGTAAAATTTGCGTTTTTTCTTTCTTACCGATCACTGATAATTACTGACCGGCGGTGTGCCCCCTCTACCTTAACGACCGTAGGTAATAATTGCATTCTACCTTAACGACCGTAGGTAATAATTGCATTCTATCTTAACGACCGTAGGTAATAATTGCATTCTACCTTACCGACCGTAGGTAATAATTACCGACTCCCTCCCCTTCACCCCTCTCGCCGTCGGTTCCCCCTCCTCACACCTCCCCTCGCCCTCGCCCTCCCCCCGCTCCCCCCTCGGAGCCCCATGGCTTAAAACCCGCCTACCTTTACTACTACTGTAATTTTATTTAACGAACGGAAATCTACACATAAACGGTCCTTTCCACTTTTCTTTTTAACAATAATAACAGGACTCGTGACAGGCGAACTGCTTTCGCGTATAATGCAATTGGCCAACAGATCATCCACGATTTCGCGTACTTTTTCTCGCTCCGAGAGTGATAAACGGTAAGGATGATAATTGATTACCTTATCGTCTTGTGTAACGTGTAATTTAAAAAATAATATTGCATTAGTTTATCTGGACGATATATTAATTCTGCAGCAGACAATTGAAGAGAGAATTCGAAATTTAGAGCGTGTACTGGAAGCTTCAGACAAAGCAGGCTTTACATTAAATATTGAACAATGTAAATTTTTTAAAACTTCGATAAGCTATTTAGGCAGAGAAATATCTTCGGAGGGGGAGCAGGAACAGAAAAAGTAAGAGCTTTATTAGAATCACCAACTCCGTGCGATGTAAAACAGGTGAGACAATTCGTTGGTTTAGCAAGTTATTTCCGAAAATTTATTCCGGAATTTGCCGATTAAAGCCACGCAGAATAAGAAACATTTATTACCACGAATAGCTCGCTGGTGGGTGTTTCTACAGGATTATTCTTTTGACTTAGAATATAGAAAAGGGAAATACATTGAACATGTGGATTACTTAAGTCGAAACCCCTGCAGAGATTATCGTGTGAATGTTATTTGTGAGGGTTCTTGGTTGAATATTGCTCAAGGAAAAGACGAAGAAACACAAGATTTGATTAAAAGAATAGAGGCAAAGGAAACCGTGTGTACCGATTTCGAAATGAGGGACGGCATATTATGTCGCAAAATAATAAGAGATTCTGGCCGGATAGTTTACCGAAGTTTTGTCCCAAAAGAAAGTCGTCTTGGTCTATTGCGTCTTTACCATGACGAAAATTGCCACGTAGGTTTCGAGAAAACGTTGGACCGTATTGATAAGGAATATTGGTTTCCGAAATTGCGAAAATTTGTTCAGAAATATATAGAACATTGTATTACCTGCGTAGTATGTAAAAGGCAAAGTGGACCAAAACAGGAAAAATTGTAGTCTATCCAGAAAAAACCTATTCCTTTTGATACGGCCCACTGTGACTGCGTAGGCCCATTTGTGAAGACCAAGAATGGTTATGAACAAATTTTGCTGATAGTTGATGCGTTTACTAAATATATTCAACTCGTGCCACTTAAAACTTTGTCTGGTTCTGAAAAGCTTCAGGTTTTTAAAGAGAGGCTCACGTTGTTCGGGACTCCTTGAGTGGTTGTTTTAGATCGTGGGACAAATTTCACATTCAAGTCGTTGGAACAATTCATTAAAAAACATGGTATAGAATTACATTAATACGCGACGAGAGCGCCAAGAGCAAATGGACAAGTGGAGCGTTACGTATCACCTGTCACCAATTTACTTACGATAGAGTTAATTAAAAACAGTGATTGGCCGAGAAAATTAGCTAAAATAATGCTTTCGCTGAATACGGACACAATAACGGACACAAGGAGTGCGAAAACAGATAGAAAATTCATTGGTCCTTTTGTAATATCTAAAATATTACCAAACGATCGTTTCGAAATTTTAGGCAAAACGGGCAAACCGCAGATTGTACCCAAAGACAGACTGCGCCTTTGGAAAGGAGAATGGTCCGGTGATGATGATGTAAGCGTAAGCGCGGAAGAACCGTGTTAGCGTGTTAATGCTTAGAGTAGAAGTAATATATTTTGTGTTATGAATAGAAATACATGCAATTGTAAAAATAAAAACAATGGGCGTGTAGAAAATGTTATATTTGTGTTACTTTCCTTTTCCAAATTAGTACGAAAAGAGGAATTACTAACGGGCTACTTCCCCGGGCTGGAGCGGAAGGAATATTACTAACAGGTTACTCTTCCAAGCTTCAGCAAAAGAGAGACGGTAAATTTTGCATGCTTGTGAGCATTGGCTATAGTTATGGGGTATTTGTGAATACTGCCATCGCCTGGAATGTATATGTGAACTGATTATGATGGAACATTGTGTTGGATGTGATGGTACGAATAATTGAGGATGGATGCTTCCCGGGAGCGTGAAGCATGTCAGGTTGGCCGTGTTAGCGATCGGTCGATATATTGATTTTTCGGAGACAGCTGATCTACCGATGTTTCGGTCAATGACCGGTTCTTGAAAGGTGGAGACAGCTGAGTGGGCCGAGTGGCGGCAAACTGTCAGTGGCTCCAAAACAAATATCCAATGACCGATGCCTTACTATCGGTAACGCATGAAAGGGGCAAGCAACCTGACGTTGCATTGCTATGATTGGTGATAAGCCATATTATATTAAACATTAGAATAAATGTTCTAGAAAGATCTGGCCACGGAGTGGGGAAGGCTTGGCCTTCTGGAAAGAGGACCGTGTTGAACCGCACGGCACTTACCCCAGAACTGTTAATTCGAGAAGACGTGATTATTAATATTTTAATATTTCTAATATATACATATTTGCATGAAAGTAAATAACAGTTTTTGAGATGGCTGATTACAGATCTAATACGATAACTATGAATGATAGATTCAATATGACTGAATTATTCAATTTTTATGAAAATTGGTATATACAATGTGTGAAAAAGCTGAGTACTAATGTCATGGAATTAAGAAATCAGGTTCGTATCAACGGAGTGAAATCTGAAAATTCTAATTCCTATTTGCACCGAAATTCTATCTAGGTGGAATTTAGGAATCTATCTAGAAACCTAGAATTTGCTACATCTTTGAACCTTATTGTTTCCAGAGTCTCATTCTTTCAAATTCTAAAATAAATTTAGAAATAAAATAAGGAAAGTGCTAACCAATGGTGATACGGCTAGGCAAGAAACACACAACATTGTACATAGGTCCACGTGGCGTTATACTCATCCCTAGATTATAAATGGTGCCATCGTTCATCACATGAGGATGAGACGTGTGGTTCACGATGCTAACGTAGTCAGACACGTTTACCTGTGAACAGAAAAATCACAAATTTAATATATTTGTCTATATATATCTTGTATATACCTATATTTACAGTACACATCTATATGTAGATATAGTATACTCTTCCTTACTCCTGTATAAGTTTGGTTATATAATACCTATCTAACTATGTATAATTATGTATAACTATACATTAAAACCGCCGTCTAAACACCTTGAAAATAGCTTGAAAAGTTATCCGACCTTCATCCGATAAACTTCGGATAAAAATAAAAATGCGAATACTATCCGGCGAGTGAAACTCTCTGGAGAAAAACCAGGTACCTCTAGCGGTCGGATAAAGATACAAATGTGAAAACTACCCTACGGGTGAAACTCTCTGTAGATAAAGCAGGTATCTTTAGCCATCGGATAAAGTTAAAAGTGCGAAAATTATCCGACGTGTGAAACTCTCTGCAGATAAAGCAAGTATCTTTAACGGGACAAGTATGAAAACGGGACAAAATAAAAAAATAGGTATATCTGTTACGTTCCCGTTCTAAATTTCCTTATTTGGAGTCGGATGTGCGCATCCGGTATTCTTCGCATAGCCATAGGAATTCGAGACCAATACGAATGCAATGTACTTCCCCGCCACTCCTTGGGCTATGATTTTTGGGTATAAAAAGGGTGACGACGAAGGCATATCGGGTCTAGTCAAAGTCTAGAAAGGGTTCCGTACACGTCTGTGCGTGCTCTTACGAATTGTCTACACGAGAAAACTTAGTGAGATCGGGTTCAAGTCCCCTTCGAGCAAAATCTTAACCATACAGTACGTAGTCTACTATTAGGCATTATTTTATCGTTGTAGTCGTCCCCCGTTTGCTCGCGTTCGTGAAAACCGAGAAGGATTAGATTCTTGCTTCGCGGAATCGAAACTATACTTTCAACTCAGTTCATATTTGTAACAACTTAGCTTATTATCATTAATAGCTTATTATTAACCATACGTAGGTTCGTCTCCGCGTCTACTTCCTCAAGGCACCCAGTGTTACCTAACAACACTGGTCAAGTCATTAACAAAAAACCATATTCCAATAGAAAAGCCCCGGCTACGCAGCCGCCCCCTCCGGCTCGTAACATATCATATTTTTCAGACCTTTAAAATATATTCAAAAATCAAAACAATCGGAGGCGAACACCTAAAAACATTTCTTTATCAGTCTCTCTTTCTTCTTCATCAAACTGTCTTTTTCTATTTCGTCGATGCTTCGAAACTCTGGACGGATTCGAAGCTGGTCGGACTTGAATATTTGGTTATACGTACAATCAGGGCCGGTTTTAGCAATATTGGCGCCCTGGGCAAGATAATCGTGACACCCCTTCTTAGGCTTAAAATTTTTAAGAAAAGAAGACAAGGTAATAATATCAAACGATGAATCTGTATCTAGATTGTGAAGATTGTTAAACTACAATATATAGCAGCGGACTGCGGACTAATCTACACCGGACTGCGGCGCCCCCAAAAATCTGGCGCCCTGGGCGGTTGCCCGACCGCCCCCCTCCCCCCTCCTAACGCCGGCCCTGATCGTACAATGCATACCCAACCGAAGTGTCGATTCTGTTTACACTTCGTTTTCATCGGCCAGCCGTGTCTCTATGGGTATTACCATTTCTATGCAGGAAAATCTGTAATACCGACCGGCCAAATCGGAGAGGTCACGTGCCGTGTCTTCCCTCTTAAGAATAGTTTCAACATATTCTGAGAATATTTTCATGTTCATTTCTTGGCAAGTATTGTGTTTAAAAATATGTCGGATAATTACGCATCAACCTAATAAATAGTGGAAATAACGTACCTTGCCTATAGTTTCCAAAGTTTCAGGATCGATGCGATGAATCACCGCTGACTCGGCAAACGTGTAATACTCGTCACCGAACGGGTAGACTGATATCATCGAATTATCTGATTCGTCGCCAGGTTTGAACACTGCCGCAACCCTAAAGAGAGAGGCTAATAAGTTCCGTGCTTATCGAATATCGTAATCGATCTTTCTATCGTTCGAATCAGTTGCTACCTTTGAAAAATACTTCTGCAGGGATCAGGCACTGCTCTCGTACCAAACTCGGTAACGACTATCCTCTGCGCTGCGTTATTCTTCTTGTAGACATCCGTTTGAACGAATCTACACTGATACGTCACTTTTCCATTCCCAATTGCAAATCTGTCGTATCAAAATAGTACAAAAACATGGTTTAGATATATATAGGGTGTCCTAAAAATGTTGTAACACCTTGAAAGGAGTGGTTCGGGGGGTGATTTGAAACAACTTTTTCCTTAGCGAAAATGTTGTACAAGGCTTCGTTGAGGAGATATTAACGGAAAACACTGACCAATCAGAGCGCACGTATACCGTTGGAGCGGCCACGGTAGCGAAGACTACGCCACAGCCACGGTGTAAGAAAGATAGGTGGACTGACTCTATCCCCACTCCTGTGATTTTAAAGAAAAAGTTACTTGTCCCTCCTGCAGAGGGTATTAGTGTAACATGTGAATAATATCACGTTTACTTCCTTATGTTCTTGTGCATTGCTTCAGTTACACCGCTGTACAATATTGAATTTTGGTGCGTTAGCTAATTCAACAGAACTCCGCTGAGGGGAGCCACCAGAACACACACAGGTCACGCAACACTATTAAGCACATGGTTATGGCACGGTGTAAAAGAAACATAAGGAAGTAAACGTGATATTATTCACATGTTACACTAACACCCTCTGCAGGGGGAACAAGTAACTTTTTCTTTAAGATCACAGCAATTTTGTGGTGGGGGTAGCGTAGTCGGTCCACCTATCTTTCTTACACCGTGGCCACAGCCGACTCTAGTACTACCCGTGCTGAGAAACGTGGCAACATCGCTCAAGTCTAGATCGAGAGTCCTATTTTCCAATATGAGAGGGTTGTGCTTCGTATCATAATTTACGGTTTTTTTAATAGAAAACTATACTAATGTACACCATTTATTATTAGTTATGTAAAAGTGGGATATAAATATTATGACTACAGTAAGTAAAAGTAGCTTAAAAGTATATTAATATTTGTAAATGTAGTATACATTTGATGGACTCTGAAAGTAGTTTGATGTTATGATGCATTAAATTTGAAATATTTACAGTGGTTTGAAGAAAATATAAGTGTGAAGGAAGATAAAACCTTCTTTGGACCAAATTGAAGTGTTTTAAAATTAATAAGAGATATTTTAAGTTAATACACTGCTGGACAAAATTGAGGGATCACTAAAATTTTTCGAAAATTTTGATCATATTCAATAAAAAAATTTGGAAATGCCATTTTGTAGGTAGAAAGCTCTATTTTTCGAATTAGGAGATCAACATTTTTTTTGTCTGGCCATGTCACTTTTTTTTTTAATGAAGTGCAACGAAGGAATGTTCGTTCAGTCGAATGGTCGAAGATATTTTCGTTAACTTTGAACGTATGCACAGTACGAAAAAAATTTTTCTTGGCAAATTCAATTAAATGGTATTATAGAGTAAACTTTTCTCTTTATTTTCGTTTTCTTGGTTTTGCTATACAATTTTTATTGACCGAGTTCTTTATGATTATGTGAGAACGGGTACTTTTCACTTTGAACGCCTATAACTCATGAATACATGATCATAGAAAACTTTCAATGAATGTTTCGAACAGCTGAGAAACATTTCTTTAAAAGGCTTTGATTCCCAATTTGATGACATTTTTTTTTAATCGCATATAATCCATTTCAAAATGACATAAAAATTTGCATATCTATCACTTTTTAGAAAACATGACGCCATTTCAGTAAAAATCAAGGAATCATACAAGTGTCTACATTATTTTTTAGTTAAGAGTGCCCACAAACTCTGTGCAAAAGGCCGAACTCATCTGATTTTTTTTACCTTATGTCCTCGATGGCGAAACATGCGTCGTGATCTGAAAACTTGAGAAGAGATCACTTGTTTTACGTTACGTTTCCGTCTCATTCAAAACGATTTTTTGTTCTTGCAGCGTCTTAATGGTTATTGCGTGTTTTCTTTTCTTAATTCAACGTCATTTTAACGTACAAAAAAAGGGTTTAAACAATTAAAGAAATAACTTTGTTCAATCTCTTTACAATGACAAATGCCGGCGGTACCTTATCGTTTTATTTGTTACGTCTTTTTCATTTGCTATGCTACACAGTTTCCTTCGATGCACGTCAGGTCACTTGTTCGCGTACGAGCGCGCCCGCCTAGCGCGTAGCCTTCGCTAGCACAGCCGCTCCAACGGTATGCGCGCGCTCTGATTGATCGGGGTTTTCCGTTAATATCTCCTCAACGAAGCCTCGGACAACAATTTCGCTAAGGAAAAAGTTGTTTCAAATCACCCCCCCCCTCCCAATCACTCCTTTCAAGGTGTTACAACATTTTTGGGACATCCTGTATATTTATTTAAATCTTAATCATGATCCATTAATTTTAAAAAGGCACCCGGTGAAATAGAAGCAAACATCCTATTCTGATTAAAGTTAGAACCTCTCCGGAATCCTTTCTACATGCGATCGACGATAATCAGAAAATTCTGATGTCTCTGTACAAGTAATCATTTGATGACTCTCAAAGCCCATCAAATGCAGATTTCTCCTTGAATCTACGAAGTTCGTAAAAGGTTTATCCTAAAAAGGATCAAGACCGAAAAGAAGACTGAAAAAAGCATTTCAACCTGTCATCCGAGCGTGTCCTTTCAAAGTTAATCGCCGAAGGTCTTACTAATTGATATTCACCCGAGACTCGAGGTTTTCGCGGTCACTAAAGATGTGAGGCTTCCGGGTAGAAGCCATAATCGATAACATTTGGATACTAATGTTTCGTCAGCACTGCGACTTGTTTCTTTAACAGGTTTACTGTTCGACTAATATTCGTGAAAATTTCTGTAAGATTGAAACTTTGTTTAAAAATAATTGAAACTATACAGGGCAGGATAATAACTTTGTCCACTTTGAATATCTCTGCTATTGATAGTCTTATGGATAAAGTTGTCACGATAATGATGCATCGCTTTGAGGGCACTTATAATTCCATTCTTCCAGAACGTAATTTTTTTCAGGGCAATTTTGTATGATATTGCAATTTCATTGATATGTTTCTTGAAATGAACGCTACATTTTTTTAATCTTTATACAGTAGCCACTGTTGAGACGATTTCAAAATGGTACTATCATAGATGCTCTTCACCGCCTTTAAATTTATTTTAGAAGATACTTGAATTTGTTGAGACAAACATAGCTCGGGTAATTTCGTACAGAAACGTTAATTACCGATAGCGAACAGTGGCGCTTTTGATCTAATGATAGATCGTGATTTTACCCACTGCTAATACACTCTATGTACCGATCTCATTATAATAAAGTACTTGTAATCGAACACGTGTAATTAGAAGGTGTACAGAGTTCATTTTTCTTTTTCTCTAAGGTGGTCTTTAAGGATAGATTTAAACATTATCTCAACCATAACCATAACTTTAACAGAATTTATCGACTGATACATATTTAGTGTCTAGTTGAGGATCATAAGAGAGGGCACACCTGAAACCAGCCGAAGTTTACGCTGTATTCTTTCAGCCGAATGGCTGTATTCTTTTTATATACATCTAGATCAGATAAGCTTTCGAATAAAACCAAAATCAATAAGATCGGTCCACGTAGAACTGAGATATCGTAATATCATGTCATGAATCTGTCAGAAACGGTATTTTTCGTATGATTTTCCCGTCGTCAACCCTTAGAGCTCTTTCACACGACGATACGCGTATGCAGGATACCGATGGTACACATAATGTTATGGAAGCGTTCAGACGGCGATTCTCGCGAGATTCAGTATCGCGATACTGATTTTCGGTATCCGCGGTTAGTCGGCCGCCGGCAACTTTTTCTGTGTCGGGGCGGCCGACGAAACATTGAAATAGATGCGAGCATTCACACGACGCTGCGCAGTATCGTCGAATTCGTTCACCTTCCTCATAAAAAAATTTTAGACATAATAATTAAAGAATTTACATGGATCGTTACAGAGTTCTTCGAATAAAATATGAAAAGCTCCCGTTTCTTCTCTTATATTATTAATAGAATAAACCTAAATTTTCTCTTAACTTTTCTCCTTTTAGTAGCTTTTTTATGTAGAAACCAAATGGATAAAGCTTCAATCTCATCCATTATTTTAGAAAGGTTTTCACTAACTAACAACGCGTGTTTCTTAAACGAGAAGATATGTTTAACTGAAAAACAAATGATCAACACCGAGCTACGAAATTATTTGGATACAGTATCGCATAAGTATCTTGCTAGCAGATGCGTATCGCATACGCGTATTGCGATACGCGTATCGTCGTGTGAAAGAGCTCTTAGCCAATAGGAGCTAAGCAAGCGCCGAGCGTCGTTCGTCGACTCTCGGAATCATTCGGTTCGGCATGGCTCGTTGGCCATCGAGCGTTGAGAGTCGAAACAGATGTCATCATTCATAACCTGCCAAGTGTCAAAACTTTTGACACTATTGCATTATTAATTACATTTATATCAGCAACATGTTTTCAATTTAGACTTTTTATGTAGAGCTTGTGGAAATGAAAAGGGGCCACAGGATTGGAGATTAACAAATTGCTGCCAGTAAAGTAAAATGTAGATCAATTTTGATTACAAGGTAAGTTGTCAAAATCTGAATTGCCAGATATCTTTATTCATACATAAAACTGTTTTTAATATAGATCCATACCACCAAAGTGTTTTGAATTTAGACTTTGTATGCAGAGCTTATACAAATGAAGAGAACCACAGACTTGGAGGTTATTCGTTAACAAATTGTAGCAACTGTTGTAAAATGTTTATCCATTTTCATTACAAGGTAAGTGATCAAAATTTGAATTGTCAGGTACCTTCATTCGTACAGAATAGATCCATACCACTAAAATGTTTTTAATTTAGACTTTTTATGTAAAGCTTATAGAAATGGAGTCATTTTCTCATTTCATCATTAACATTATAATTTCTTGCAGCAAGAAAAACAATTGCAGGTATATATAATTATTTATAAATTGAACGAATAAGTGTTTATAATTAATAAATTATATGAAATATATATATATTCGCTTTTGTTATCCCCTCTCTCTTTATTTTACTCTATTCACTTAAAAAAACAAATAATAATTTAAACTTCTTATGTAGAGTTTACAGAAATATCAATTTTATTTTTATAAATTTAAAATAGATTCTATATAATAAATGATTTGTAAAAAGAAGTGAGATCCGATAACAAATTTCAAAAAAGTAAAAAAATTACGCCAAGTACATGAAAAAGTGGAGGACTCAAGGAGTTATCATTGAAAAATAGAAGATCCCCATAAAAAACTACAAGAAAATAGAAAAAGATGTGAAATCGAAATAAGCTGCCAGATGATTTGCCTAGATTTCTGCGGCCTGGAAGTCAAATGCTTGGCGTGGCCAGGCAAGGTTAAGGTATCGATGAATAAGAATTATTTTAAAACGCAAAATAATGAAAGTGTACTCATATTGTCAAAGTTTTAAACTGACAAATTATCTGAAAACTTGCGAGAGTAAAGGTATTGGCGTCGATGAATGACCTTAGAAATATTTTAAAACGCAATACAATAAAAGTGTACTCATAATATTGTCAGAGTTTTAAATTGTCAAATTACCTGAAAGTCTGTGAGAGAGAGAAAGTATGGGTATTGATGATCGAAGAATGCCTTGCCTGGCCACGCCAAGCATTTGACATCCAGGCCGCGGAAATCTAGGCAAATTATCTGGCAGCTCATTTCGATTTCACATATTTTTCTACTTTCTTGTAGTTTTTTATGGGGAACTTCTATTTTTCAATGATAACTCCTTGAGTCCTCCACTTTTTTATGTACTTGGCGTAATATTTTTACTTTTTTGATAAGTATATTCCGCCTCCGAAAAAGTTATTTAATATAATTTAATGTAAAAGAAATAGAAAATTATTTTATTTAATATAATTCAATATAAGGAAAATAGGAATTATTTCATACTTTTAACCAATTATACCTAGAGCTGATGAGTATTCATATAAATTAACTAGAAATTATTTCACACTTTTTAATGCAGTTTTAATATTTTTCGAAGTCGGTTATACTTTCTTATCCAAAAATGAATTTAATTCACACTTTTTAATGACAATCTATAACCAATAGGCTTCATGCAATAACAATAGTTATGAGCAATATATTGTTGCAAATGGGATCGTCAGGAATACATGTGCAACTAAATGTGAATGCATTCATCGCGTTTGGTAAATTCTTTGTCGAGCTACACCAGAGAATAGGAATTTTGAAGCAAATGGCTCTAATAGAGAAATTGAAGCAGATCCCACTTCGAATAACTAATAATTTAGTTAATTTAACGCTTAGAAAAGTTACAATAATTATAAAATCAAAAGGAAATCCCACGAAGGAAGTATTATATACTTATAAATTAATGTAAATTTCTTTTTTCTTTTTAATGAAGTTTTAAAAATTAAACAGTTGTGCGAATACTTATTGCTTCAACATTTCTATCGATTAATTGTTTTTTTCTTGTTAATTTCGCAACTTACATAAATAGCTATTTTTTTTTTGTAATCTATCTATGTTGGTAGTACTGATCACCCAGTTTTAGTCTTCTTTTGTTTTAGTCTTCTTTTGTTTTAGTAGGTTGGTAGGTTGGCACAGTTTTATGATCTAATTTTTTTTAGTAGAATGACAGACTTGTAGAATGTCATTGTTTTTAAAAACTAAGTTAATAAACTACAATTTTACATAATTTTGGGGGAAATTGATCGGTGTACGAATACTTTCTACACCCAGTGTATGCCAGATTTAACAAATGATTGCCCGATCCTACATAATCTAGCAGTTGTAGTAAACGTATTTTTTCAACCTCTTCAAAACTTGGTAATCGTATCCAAATTTATTTTTCTTAACACCTCATATCCGAAATTAATTTTTGTATTATCTTAATAAAAAGTTTTATTACCTATATGTATACGGTTGACATGCCACAGCGATCAACGGGGCCGTTTAAACAAAGAACAACCATTGAAAGAAAGAATTCACTGTGTCGCACACCTCAACGCTGACGAAATATTCCTATCCAAACACCAATGGGTCCCGTATCAAAGTCTCAGACTACGTCAACACTGAAGTCTCCAGGTGCCTCTTTAGTCTTGTCGACTCTGCCATAGCACGTACCGGTGCAATAAAGCTGAACTGTCGAACAGGTGGTTGAACGTGTATTCTCCGACTTTCAAGCTCCCTGGCCCGTTTCTCAGCAAGGTACCCTTCAACCAGTTCGGAATCTGTCCGGTAACAGTGCCAAGTATTGGCTCCAGCACCTCCTTTTCGCAGGATCTCATCCAAACTGACGAATTACAATTCGGAAAGTAATTTGTGCCCTCTTCTTTTGTGTCATTTTCAAATGACCTTGAAGATCCTGCAGTGTCGTTCAGCTGCCAAAGAGGTTCATCGTTCATTCTTCGCGTTCCTATGTCTCATAGTTAAGACTGTTCAATTAGTTAAAAAGTGGACCATGTACACTTTTGTATGTAACATGTACCATGTCGAATTTGGAAAAATTAATGGACTTTCCTATAGGAAAAGCTTTATCTATTGGTTCATTGTGTTGAAAACTTCGAACAATATTAACTGAAAAACCACCGAAGGAAATTTCATTCGGTGCTAAGCAACGGGATGATGGCGAGACAGGTAGCACAGCAAGATCACTCTAGACGATGACTTACACGAAACGACGTCCTCGACAATTTAAACCGTTTTCCGTGCAATAAATCATCGAGCTCGTTTAGTTTCACCGAGGAAAAGTCACTAGTTGATTTTGCCCTACCGCGTTTGTTTGATTTCATAACGGTTCTTATAGACACTGCCGAAAGGACCCGATGGAACATAAAGAACCAAAGACGCAACGGTACGAGATTCGATAATTAATTTCGAATGTTCGCGTGTTGATTGATGCTACGTTTCATCCTCAACGTTTTCGTCAACAGGCTCCACCACCAGCGGATTTAGAATGGACGACAGAATGTGGTATACTCGCTTGTGGGTGAAATCCATCCCCTCGGGGCTTCTATCAACGAATGACATTGTTCCGATAATCTGCTGACCTTAAAAAGTAGTCTCACCGTGATCCAATTAACGGCACCGGTTGCTCGAAGCCCCGCGCACGGTCACGTGCATATTCACCACTTTTAACCGACATCGAAAAAGAGGAGATTACCTAATAATACGTGCATTTTTTTTTTATTTTTTTTAAAGGTATGTTCGCCAATTACGCCGAGATTGACCAATTGCTTGACCAATCGGAATGAAACCTCTTGCATCTTGTAGAGTATGTCTCCCAGGTGGTCCCTTTATTAAAACATTTTGTGATTTGTCATTTTGTACCTATTTGCTTTTTTTTTTGCAAAAACCAAAAAATTTTATACTACTTCTTACTCCGAGACGGACGGACTCAATCAGATTGAAACTTCTTGCATCTGGTAGAGCATCATTGCCACTTGGTTCTGTAAACAAACATTTGGCCGTGTTTTATTTTTTACCACTTTGTATCAATTTTATCGCAAAAACAGTACTACTGCACGTATGTTCAGTCTGAATTCAATGAAATCGATAAAACTTACATTTTGCTGCCGGACAGGTTTTCGCGAATCACATTTGTAAAATGTATGAATTTTTGTATTGTTTATAATTATTGTTATTCCAAAATGTATGAATTGTTTTATTGTTTATACTTATTGTTATTGCAAAAATGTATGAATTTTTTTATTGTTTATAACTATTGTTATTGCAAAAATGTATGAATTTTTTTTATTGTTTATGACTATTGTTATTGCAAGAATGTATGAATTTTTGTATTGTTTATAACTATTGTCATTAACCGATAATTGAATTAACCGATTGCGATGAAACCTTCCACATTTCATGACAACTGATTTCATGATCGAGTCAGCAAAGATTTATGGCGACTTCCATTGTTTAAAACCATTGTTGCTTAAAAATTCCTATTCTTTGATGTAACTCGGCAAGGAATTAACCGACCGAGATGGAATCATCCACATTTAGTGACAGCTGATTTCATGATGATCCCATTTGGAACAATATATTACTCATAACTATTTTTAGTGCATGAAGCTTATTGGTTATAGATTACCACTAAAAAGTGTGAAATAAATTAATTTTTTGATAAAAAATATAACCGATTTCGAGAAATATTAAAACTGCACTAAAAAGTGGGAAATAATTTCTAGTTAATTTATATGAATACTCACCAATTCTAGATATGTATAATTGTTTAAAAGTATGAGAAATTGCAGTGAAAAGTATGAAATAATTTCTATCTAAACTGCATTACTGCGCACTAGCTTTTAATGAATTTAATTGTTATTAAATACAGCATATATTATGTGCAATGTTAAAAGGGGCAAAATTAAAAGTTTTTAATTTCGGTTTGGGTTAGTTTTTGATGGAAACGGCAATATTCAATGCTGTTAATATATACATGTATACTGTCTACGTGGAAATACTGTCTTACAATGAGTAGGGTTGGGATAGTATTTGGTAGGGGCGACGATATTGAATAGTGGTAATATACGGAGTGTCCCAAAAATGTTGTAACACCTTGAAAGGGGTAATTCGGGAAGTGATTTGAAACAATTCTTTCCTTAGCGAAAATGTTGTCCGAGGCTTCGTTGGGGAGATATTAACGGAAAACCCCGACCAATCAGAGTGCGAGTATGCCGGTTGAGCGTAGGCTACGCGATAGGCGGCCGCGCTCATACGCTACCCCTACCAGAATATTCACGCTCTAATTGGTCGGGGTTTTCCGTTAATATCTCCTCAACGAAGCCTTGTACAACATTTTCGCTAAGGAAAGAATTGTTTCAAATCACCTCCCAAATCACCCCTTTCAAGGTATTACAACATTTTTAGGACACCCTGTATATGATGTCTAAAGCGGATATAATAATAGCAATAATGAAAAGGCCATATTTTTTGTTCCTCCGACAGAAAGTTAAACCAAGAATGGTAATTTTGAATGTAGATAATTATAAATTCTGCGCCGTCTCCGAAACGAATAAAATGAAGATAGCAAACGTACTTTTATTGTTTATAACGTTTTAAGGCCGAAATTGCAAAATCAGGCCTTGGAGTCGCATCCGCCAAAGTGTAACGAATATATTAAAACCAGAATTATTAGAAAATATTGCTTCTTTGCTTCAATATCCTGGAAAAAAAACATGCAAGCCTAATCGCCCTGTCCTCGTCTCTCCTGCAATTGTTGTATCGCTCTCTCTGTCCTTGTCCCGGAGTTTCCTACTTTTTCCGCAACTGTCGCTGAAGTCATCTCGAAGTTTGGCTCTGGCTCCAGCTCACCCATTCATCAAGAGTTGGTGAGTAATAATGCAGTTTAGATAGAAATCATTTCACACTTTTTACTACATTTTCTCATACTTTTAAGTAACTATATCTAAAGCTGGTGAGTATTCATATAAATTAATTAGTAATTATTTGCTAAAAATTAGCAATTATTTGGAAAAGCATAATCATTACGTGTTTTTTGTTCATTATTGTACCTGAAAAACGGGAAAAACTATTTAGTAATTCACACTTCACGTACTCTCCATTGGGGGCAGTGATGGACATTCGTGGGATTTTTCCCTCGAGGGATTCCTTCCTGCGCATGCGTAAGCTGACGTCACAGCTACATGTCGTCTGCTACCATTTTTATTTAAATGTATTCAGTTAATATTGGTAAGGCATATCCTTCCAATATATGATTGTATATGTATATTTTATGTATTTGTGTCTTATGTTCATTTTTATGTGCAATATTTTTGTTCGAATACTGGTAAGGTTTCTGCAGTCTCCTTATTCTTGGCAATAAATGTTGGTATTCATGTAATAAATCAGCTGTAGACATAAAAACTAAATACATAATGAATTGTTTTCCACTTTTCATTGTACATCTGTGCTATTTTCCTTCATACAAACTTTTCTCTTTCCCTATAACTTCCTTACATTTTGTTCCTTACTGGGATCCAATGGTACCCTAAATTCTAAGTAAGTGTATACAGCAGTGAGGACTGCAACGCTCGCTCCAGTGCGCATGATCAGGAAAATCCCACGAATGTCCATCACTGATTGGGGGCGCTAGTTTACCTCCTGCGCATCCTTAAGCGGCGGATTAAACTTCAGCATGAATGAATTTATCACTATTATCATGATTATTATGTAGTTTATTAACGTGTTATCAAATTTTTATGAAACAGTGGGAAAAAACGAAAATTTGAATATATTATACTTAAATGGAAACGTTTAATAAATAGAAAATTATGTTTGAGGTTAACTGTTCTTGTAATCAAAAATAACTGGTGAAGTTTGCGTAGCGTGATATATAATATATTTCTATTAATCTAGGTGAAAAACAATAAAGTAATGTATTTCATTTTTGTCTACAAAGTTTTATAAAGTTATAAAAAAATGAGTAGTGTGAAACTCGATGTACAGTGGTCTCCTGTCCATGCAAATAAATTCATTACTTGGGGTACTGAAATTTGTCTATATGAAGTCACACAAGTAAAAGACAGTATTAGACAATTATGTGAGTACATGCTGTGAAATGTGTTTATCTGTAATAATAAGTCGTTAAAGGAAATAAATATTGTTACATATTTTTTTTACATAGATGCAAAGATTTCTGATTCTACTGTAGCTTATTTACTTGCTACAAATACAAATCACCATTATGTTAAATGCATAGATATATATCCTCAGTTGGAACCAGATATATTGTTAGCTGTTGGACAAGCAAATGGAAAAGTTGTTTTGACTACATTTGGCCCTACAGTTTTTGATTCTCAGGGTCTCAACGGAAAAGAACTAGGTAAATTATTGTAATACTAGATCATATTTTACGCTACTTCTGCATTAATATTGATAATAATTTACTAGCAAAGTTATTTCGTATTGCCTAGAATAAGTAAATTACAATTTGTATTTATTTATACGAAACACACGAGTACTTTGCTTTATGACGATTTGCACTTACAATACTTCAATTCTTTTTGAAAGTTACCTGTAAAATTTTATAACATGTTAAGTTGTTTCCAACTGATATTGTTCTAGACAAACAGCTCTCATTTAATTTTATTATTAATATAGTTGTAACTGTAGGATATATATTATTTGTATCTATTAATGGTTGCAGTTCCAAAACATGCAAGACAATGTAACACAGTTGCTTGGAATCCCATAGATACAAATTTAATCGTATCTGGTTTAGATAAACATAGTAAAGATCATTCTATCTTATTATGGGATATAAATAAAGGGGTGCAAAGTTCTGAAAGAGTGCATCACCATACTACAATACAAACAGATTCTGCAAGACCTATAGCAGAAGTAAGCGTTTCCGAAACTGTACATTCTGTTGCTTGGTTTAAACATGAACAAAAATGTATGGCAGTTGGAGCAAATAATAAGCAATTGAAAATCATTGACTTCAGAGGTACAGAAACAAATTTTTTTAAATGTTTTTATTCTATTTGTATATTGTATGCATTAATTTATTTTTTATTAGATTCTGCAAAAGTAATAAATACAGCAGCGACTAAAGCTGTTTATAATGTATCAGTTAACCCACACAATAATTACCACTTAGTCTCCAGCATTGACAATCAAATAACAATTTGGGATACACGCTGTTTTGAAAAACCTGTTTTAACGTTATCGCAAGGTAGACAAATTACTAAAGTTCTATGGTGCCCTACGAGACACAATCTCTTGGGAGCTTTACAAAAGGACTCTGGTAAAGTAGTTTTAATTTAGATATTACTCTAAATAAATTAATTAATAAGATAAATGGACATATTAGCATTACTTTTCCTAGTGACATTACATTTGTATGACATTCAACACTGTGGAACTGGTGGAGGAGAAGATACAGAACCTGGAGCCTTAGAAAGAACAGTTGCACCACCTTGGCATAATCCTTTAAGTTTTTCATGGCATCCAACCCATGTGAATAGGTTATTGGCAATATCACAACAAGGTTTAATAATATTGTGATGCCAAATTATAAGAATAATTAGACAAAACTGTTTAACTCCTGTTATTTATTTACATAGGACTCACAGATTATACAGTTTGTGAAAGAATTACAGTAAATTGGTCTACGCGATCCCATCTTGCTTGGAATCATGCTTCTAAGTCATTTAAATATATTTGCAGCAATGACAACATATACAAAGCGTTAGATGACATTTCTATATTAACTAAAACACGTGCAAGTTTGGAATATGGATTACTTGTAAGTTGAGGAAGTTCATAATTTAGCTTGTTTAAAACTCTCGTATGATAAGTTTATTTTTAATTTTTATAGCCAGAACTGACTCAGAATGGTGATCTGGCCGAGGATGATACTCTAAAGAACTTGTGGCAATGGCTGTATTTAAGTCGTTATTTGGTAGAAGATGGCGCAATATCTAGTCCAGACAATAAACATCCTGGAGTCAGGTAAATGAAAGGTTTCCTCAATAAATACGCATTAAAAAATACGTAAATTAATGTCCATTAATATTACATAGAACAGTCCTAAAATTAGACGGCCAACAAGGATCTAATGGTTTCTTGAAATCAGAATTGATGCATCGACCCTGGTCAGA